CCCTGCCTGCCCTGGAACTCACTCTGTAGACCAGACTGACCTTGAACTCACAGATCCGCCTGCCTTTGCCTCCAGAGTGCTGGGATTAAAGGCATGCGCCACCACCGCCTGCCCTCTCTTTCTCTTTTTAAAATTGTGTTTTGTTTTAGTTTATGTCTGGGTGCTTGCCTGTACATATGTATCTATCTATGCACTGTTTGTTCCTTGTGCCTGAAGAGGGTAGAAAGCATTGAATCTTCTGGGACTGAGATAGTTGTGCTGGGCACTGAACCTGGGTCCTCTGCCACAGCAGCCAGTGAGTGCTGTTGACTGCTAAGCCATTTCTCCAACGTATCAACTGTTTCTTAAAACTGGTTGGGGACCGATTCAGTATAGCTGTAGTCTTATTAAATGGTAAGTTGAAAATACTGGTAGTTTCTGATTAGCATTTGTATTAGAAGTCAGGGAGCTAGATACAACTTTTTCTTTCATTAATCAAACTGTAGGATGCCCAAGAGTTTTCCAAGCTCTTTATGTCGCTGTTGGAAGACACTTTGTCTAAACAGAAGAACCCAGATGTTCGGAACATCGTGCAACAGCAGTTCTGTGGGGAGTATGCCTATGTGACTGTGTGAGTATTGCAGCTTTCATGACACTGCCTTTCAGTTCAGTCCCAGATTATTGCTGTGCTGGGTTATCATGGGACCTCAAGTATTTATAGCAATCCATTTCCATGGGAACATGAAAGCAGCTACCTTGCCAATTGCGGTTGACTGCTTGCAGGTCTTGAGAACTGTCTGGCTGAAAGTCTTTGACTGTTTAATGTGGGTGGAAATAAAGGTAGGAAGCAGCTCAGTTTTCTAAGTCATGTCCATGTTCTAGACCTTAAGTGACTGATTCCCTAGTCAGCATTTATCTTTATTTTACCTGTAATTCAAATGCTACAATTTCTGTAGCAAAATAATCGAGGTTATAAACACTCCCTCCCCTCTGTTTAGGATGTGTTAATAGTGACACTGGGTTGCTCTTCTTAACTTTATTTTTCATTGCAGTTGCAATCAATGTGGCCGAGAGTCTAAGCTTTTATCAAAATTCTATGAACTGGAGTTAAACATCCAAGGCCACAAGCAGTTAACAGACTGCATCTCCGAATTCCTGAAGGTACTTGCATCTCAGCATACATGGCTTCTGCTCACTGGTGGTTCCATGCTATTTTGGATGGCATTTTGATTCATGGGTACATCCATTATTGGAGACTTTTCCATATAAGAAATACTTGCTTTTATAAAGGTCCAAAGGGAACTAAAAAGTACCAAAGCAGCCAGTATCTCTTAACTGATTTTTTTAGGGTTTTGCATGCTCATTTGTATGTAAACTATGTGTATGATTACAGGCAGCACAGTATTTAAGGGAATCTGGTCTCTGTTATCATAAAGCTAACTTATCTTCTCATGTAATAGAATGCATTAAGTGGGAACACAGCCTCTCCCTCTGTGTTTCTGCTTTCTGTGTGTTCTGAGTTCTGCAGAGATAGGCAGCTCCCTTTCCTTCCGAGTGAGGAAGGCTTCTTATCAAGCCTGACCAGGCAGACAGTGTGATAGATGAGCTTGGAGCACAGTTTCCTGTCTTAAACAGTGTCGTGTGTATGTTCTCTCTTGTACACAATAGCAGCCTGAAGCCATTAATTGTGCCTGGAATTATCCTATCTAAAGGTTTCCTGAGTGTTGACTTTGTGTAGTAAGCACCATGGTGATATTGGGCTGACAGTACTGGCCAAAACAGGCAAAATCAGCTTCAGTGGAGGTTGTAGTACAGTAGCATGGCTACCAGGGGCTCATTAAATAATAAGAGTAAAATTTGTAGTGGTCGACCACGGTGTGTGCTGTGGAGGAGGAGAATCCAGGTTTGAAATGAAAGGTTTGAATTGCAGGAGTGAGCAATACAAGAGAGCAGGAGAAGGGTGTTTGTAGGGTCTGAACACTGGAGGGCAGAGTTGCAGTGGGACAGGAAAGTGAGTGTGGCAGTGTTTAGCACAGGAAGAGTGACAAACATGGGTAGCTGGATAGAGATGGCACGACAGAGAGACCTGGTTTGAGTGTGACGTCCTCAGGGGAGACTCCAAGGCCGCCATCGTTGTAATCCTGCGAGCGACTTTGGAGTGTTTTAACAGGATGACTGGTGCTCTCTTGAAGAGGCTGAAGGGTGAGGCTTGGGTGGAACAGGATGCAGGGCTGCCAGGACCACAGGATAGATGGGTAGCACTGGCTAGCTGGCTTTTCTGTCTTCAAAGAGTCAGTCAAACTTAGGCACTGGGTAGGAAAGTGAAAGTCAAGGGATTTTAAGGTTTGTTACCTGATTAGTTGGGAGAGGAATTATTTGTGAGGTGAGGACAGAGCTGAAGGCTGCAGGTGGAAAGGAAAACCAGGAGTTCAAAGCCAGCTTCAGCTACGTCAGGTAAAGAGAGTTTTGTGTTGGATGAGACCCCCTAAAAGAGTTTGGCCTGATGGATAGCTCCATGGCAGAGAGCTTGCATAACATGTTGAGCACCTTGGATTACACACTCACTCACTCATTTTCTCTCTCTCTCTCTCTCTCTCTCTCTCTCTCTCTCTCTCTCTCTCTCTCTCTCTCTCTCACACACACACACACACACACACACAGGTATTGAACATGTTTCACTTGAAGGAGAGAAATGAGGATTTTATGAAGCTTGCAAGGAGGGAAGAGGACTAGGGCCAGTTTCCCAGCCCTAGGAGCCTGAAGTATGGAGTGACAGTGAGAAGGAGCAGCTGGTCATACAAGGAAGCTGTAGGCAGGACCTGTGAGGAAGGAGGAGTATAGATAGCATCCTCAGTTGGATGGGAGCTGCTGACTAATTGTGCTTTGCGCTTGAGCTTTCTTCACATCCTTCCCAATTGGCTGTCTTCTTATTCCTGATCAGGAAGAAAAATTAGAAGGAGACAATCGATACTTCTGTGAGAACTGTCAAAGCAAACAGAATGCTACAAGGAAAATTCGACTTCTAAGCCTCCCATGCACTCTCAATTTGCAGCTGATGCGTTTTGTGTTTGACAGGTGAGTATATTGTAGCAAGCAGAGAGGACGATGGTCCGATGACTCATGGAGCCTTTGATTCTTCTGAATGCATTTCATGATGGTGCAATAAAAAAATTTTTAAAGAGAGCCAGGCGGTGGTGGCGCATGCCTTTAATCCCAGCAGGCAGAGGCAGGTGAATCTCTGAGTTCTAAGCCAGTCTAGACTACAGAGTGAGTTCCCAGTGAGCATCCCCAGGACTACACAGAGAAAACCTGTCTTGAACTGTGCCTCCTGCTCCCCCCCCCAAAAAAAAAGAGGCCAGTTGTATATAGGTATATAGATGAGAGCTGGAGATATAAAGAGAATCTATGTTTCTAAATACTATTAATTTTTTAGCTTTTTAATTAAAAACTGTAAGTATCTGACTGAATTACTTGATATGATCATATATTGCATCTTTCATCTTGTAATTGAAACAATTGTGTGGCTCTGCTCCTGGAGTGCCTTGTTAGCAGAAGGGATCAGCCTTTGTCCATGTACACTAGATTACTAGATGGAATACAGCTGCTGTGGGGCTTATTAAGGAGCTGGCAGCATGTGTACACGTTTTTTTTTTTTGATGGATTGACTATTATTACTGTGTGTCCTCTTTATGGCAGGCAAACCGGACACAAGAAGAAGCTCAATGCCTATATCGGCTTCTCGGAGAGTCTGGATATGGAGCCATATGTGGAGCACAAAGGTACTGTTTCTATCCAGCTGTGTCTATTGTTAGACAAACCGCGGTTGGCTCTCCATGCACATAGCTGCAGCAGTCCTCGATCCCCGTTTTCAGGCTTTGCGGACAGCAACTTTTTTGATAAGATGTTATTTTTCATTTATTTTATTTTGTTTTTTTTTTGAGACAGGGTTTCTCTGTGTAGCTTTGCGCCTTTCCTGGAACTCGCTTTGGAGACTGGCCTCGAACTCACAGAGATCCACCTGCCTCTGCCTCCCGAGTGCTGGGATTAAAGGCGTGCGCCACCACCGCCTGGCCTTCATTTATTTTATAAGAGTAAGCGCACCTGTCCCATCGGACCCTGTTCAACCTATTAACACATTGATAAAATTTCAAAATAGAAATGTGTGATTCTGCAAACACCCAGAAAGTGAACATTCGCATGAACCACCCAAAGAGAGAAACCTTATTACAGCAACCTAGAGCCTGCTGGATGCTCATCATCCCGCTCATCTTTTTTCCCTTCCTTCCTTCCTTTCTTCCTTCCTTCCTTCCTTCCTTCCTTCCTTCCTTCCTTCCTTCCTTCCTTCCTCTCTCCCTCCCTTCTTGCTTCCTTCCTTTTTTCCCCGTGTTTTTGAGACAGGGTTTCTCTGTGTAGCCCTGGCTGTCCTGGGACTCACCATGTAGACCAGGCTGGACTCTAACTCAGACCCACCTACCTCTGCATCTTGAGTGCTTGCTGGGATTAAAGGTGTGTGTGTGCCATTATCACCTTGCTTTACTCCCCCCACCCCCACTAAGTATTTTATACAAACTCACTTTCCTCCAGTCTTGATATTTGGGTTTATTCCTTTTGCCTCCTGGGAGAGGGCCAGGCAAATGATAACATATAATTAACCCTGCTGTGGTGTTGCTCTGGGTGGGGAGGTTGGCTGGAGAAAACACCATCCCAGGTGTCTCTCAAAGTAGGTTTCTGACAACACACAAAACAGTCTAATTGGACCTCATTAACTTTATCTGGATTGTCTAGTCTGTTTATGCTTGATATGATTACTGATTTATTCCTCTAATTCAGACTTACTGTAACACAGTCCAACCCCTTTTAAATTAACTAATTTGGTTAGGATATAAATTATTTCATTGGGATATTAATGGGTTATGTATCTTTGTTATATTTAATTCTCAGTCATTCCCCTCCTCCACTGCCCTCCCTATACCATGCATCTTACTCGAACTGGTTCCTTTTCTTCCTAGCTAGTCACACCTGCTTTCCTACACATTATATTTATTATTATTATTATTATTATTATTATTAGTTTTTTGAGACAGGGTTTCTCTAGCTTTGGAGCATGTCCTGGATCTCACTCTGTAGACCAGGCTGGCCTTGAACTCAGATCAGCCTGCCTTTGCCCCTTGAGTACTGGGATTAAAGGCATGTACACCACTGCCCAGCTTCTTACACATATTCTCATTACCCTCTCTTACATCCATTTTGTAGTTCTTTACTTCATTGGCAGTTTCAAGCTCCTAGTCTCTCTAAGGTTGCACGCTTAGTTACTTTAGAGCCGTGACCTATGACTTAGTTACTTTAGAGCAGTATGGAATGGTGCCACTGTCTTTTCTGACCCTGCTATCTTGGACATGCTACCTTCTCTTTGTCAAAAATTATCTGCCAAGAGATTTTTCTTGAGTGGGACAAATGCAGCTTGCTCCATAAGACCCTTAGGTTTATTTCTGGGACACTTGCCTACTTAGATGTCATCAGTGTATGGCTTGAGGATCACCCAGATTTAGGATTGGTCCATCTGTGGTGATGAAGTTTCTTCCACTTTTTTTTTCTGCTGCTCTGCAAGGCTAGGGAGCTGTCTCCTCTTTTAAAAGGCCACACTTCCCAATCCCTTCCCAAATAGTTTCTCTAAGTGGGGACCAAACATTTAAATGTCTGAGCCTAAGGGGGACATTTTCATTCAAACCACCATAACTGATAATTCACTTCTGTTATTTAGTGAGCTTAAGAATTCTTGTTTTAAAGAAAACATGGGATATTTACATGTAAAGTGGAATGAATACATTTTAGCTCCAAAGAAATTCTGTCATTTGTGACAAGGATAAATCTGAATGACAAGACCTGAAAATATAATAAGCTTGGGTATAGAACGAAAAAATCCTTAATGTGGAGCTCATATAAGTAGATATGAACTGGGGAGCTTATCTTACAACGATGAAGCTCAAGGGATAAAAATTGAAGATCTGTTACATGATGTGGTGGACTGAAATTAACCCGTTCCAAGCCAGGCGGTGGTGGCGCACACCTTTAATCCTACCACTCAGTAGGCAGAGGCAGGCGAATCCTGGAGTTCAAGACCAGCCTGATCTACAGAGCGAGTTCCAGGACAGCCAGGCCTATACAGAGAAACCCTGTCTCGAAGAACACACAAACAAAAAATACAACAGTTCCTTGTGTTTTCTGGGAAGATTTGAAGAGTAGGAAGATTCATACCATTGGTAACATCTGCTGGCCTTGCCCTGATGAGCTGCATGGCATTTGTGTGCTGTTTAGTTCTGAGTTCTTAGTTCTTGCCAGTTGAGCAGTTTTTTTAAGACATGTGTCTTGGTGTATGTCTGGAGGTGTCAGAGGACAGTTTCTTCTTTTCCCCCTTGTTGAATGGGGTTTGTCTTTTTTCCACTATGCTTTTTATTCCAAGGCTAGCTGGCCTGAAATCTTCCAGCCAGTTCTATTCTCCCTCAGGAGCTCTGGGATTCTCTCCCTGGCCCAATTCAGAAATATTTGTGTCGCTCCTCTAGTATTTTTATCTTAACCCAGAGTTTTGACCCACATGTTAATCTTTATTAGTGTCCTCATTGAGTGACAAGTGTGCAGGGATTTTGTTCCTTAAGTCAACTGCTATTTTCTCCTAGTCTAAAACAAGGTCCAATATGTTCATTGAGTGATTCACTGTTTTTAAGGGTATTACAGCGGTGTAACAAAGTTGGGTGTGAAGTTGTTTTTAGAGCAATATTGTTTGTAAAAGCTTCCTAATCTTTTACCAGTTTAAATATCTATAGACATGAGATGGTTCCAAATATTGTGGTGATAAATTATGCTTAGTTATTGTAAGTAGTTTTTTTCTTTAAGAATTTTTTGCCCATTTGAGTAGTTTAGCTGTGTATAGCCCACAATAGCCTTGAATTTGTTGATCCTCTTACCTCAGTCTCTGGGATTCTGGGTTGTAGGGATGCAGCCACTATGCCCAGCTCTTAGGTGTTACATTTTGTATTCTGTGCATAAAGAACTATAGTGTTACTAGTTTATGCTCAAGCTATAAGGAATGCTATCATGGAAAGTTACTCTTTTTTACTTGCAGGTGGGCCGTTTGTGTATGAACTCAGTGCGGTCCTCATCCACAGAGGAGTGAGTGCTTATTCTGGCCACTACATTGCCCACGTGAAAGATCCTCAGTCTGGAGAATGGTACAAGTTCAATGATGAGGACATAGAGAAGATGGAGGGGAAGAAATTACAACTGGGGATTGAGGAAGATCTAGGTAAAACCTTTAAGTTGTGAGTGCCCTTTTCAAATATAAATTTTGTTGTTGTGGTTGTTGACTTGAGACAGGGTCTCACAGTGTAGCTCTGGCTGTCCTGGAACTCCCCATGTAGACCAGCCTGGCCTTAAACTCAATAGAGATTTGCCTGCTTCTGCCTCCTGAGTGCTGGATTAAAAGCGTGTGCCACCATGCCTGGCTTAAAATAAAACTTCATTCATTCATTTACTTATTTACTCTTGGCAATGTTTAAAGTTGTCATGGCCCAAGATGGTTAATGGGTATTGAGGATATTAACACCACTAGGCATCTTTTGTTAGCAGTTCCTGCTTCAAGAAAAACCAAGCATAATTTTTGCCCAGAGATGGTGTGCCCAGAAAGTATGAAGGCGAAGTAGTCGGTATCAGTTATAGGTTTATTCCCTGTGCCAGGGAAGGCTAGTCATTGGATCTTAGAGGAAGGTGTGCCATCTTCTTTCCCGTTGAAGTAATAACTGTGTCTGAGGAGACAGTCTCCTGACAGCTCTCATCCCCTCTGCTGTCGTCATCTTAGTTTTGTTCCCCAGTGAGTGGCCAGGTCTGATGGGAGCCCGTGATCTTCTCACTTCCCCCCAGGATCGGAGAGAGTGTTTATTATGTTTAGTATTTTGAGGTACGCCCAGGTTGGCCTTGATCTCTTCAGTTGCGGTGGTCCTGCCCCTTGGTCCCCAGTCAGATACTGCAGGGATTACACCTGTGCACCACCACACCTGAGGAGGAGCACTGGCACTTAGGCCTTGCTGGCTTTGAGTCTCTAAGTCCCTTTTCATTTAGAGACTATGTGTTACTTTTCTTGTCACTGTCACAATACCTGACACAGAAAGCTGTGGTGAGCAAAGCTCACGTTTCAGGGCATTGTGAACGGAACCTCCATGGACAGGAAGGTCTGAGCAAGCAGCTCAGCCTTGGGGGCTGGGGCATGTGGGTATTCATTCACGGTGGTCTTTGCAGTAGAGTGAGGAGCAGCCCTAGCCACACTCTCTACCCACCAGCCCTACTGCCCAGGTCCTGCCAGCAGCTGGGGGAGTAAGTGTTCAAAACAGTGTGGTGGGCATTTCACATCCAAGCTGGACTGAGGTGACCCTTAGGTTCCCAATATTTACTATAGTGTTTTTTATAGGAACAATGTTACCACCAACTTTATTTTATTGTACTTTTTTTAAAGATAAACCTTAGGTTGTAAATAATTGTGTCTTCATTTTGAGTGTCTATGGCAGTTGTCTACATTGTAAAAATGAAATTGTAAGATTTAAAGCATTTTTAAAAAGTTGTTAGGTCTACTGTGAGTAGTCCTCAATTTTAAAAGAGCTTAAGCGAGTCTTTTGTTTTACCAGTATTTTTCAGTTGTTTTTTTTTTGTTGTTGTTTTTGTTTGATTTTTCAAGATAGGGTTTCTCTGTGTATCCCTGGCTGTCCTGGAACTTGCTCTGTTCTTGAACACATAGAGATCCGCCTGCCGGTTGAGTGCTGGGATCAAAGGCATGTGCCAGATGACCTCAAACTTGTGACATTCCTTACCTCAGCCTTCCAAGCTCTGATATTATAGCTATGCATGTATTTTGATTTTTCTTTTGTTTGCTTTTACTATGTGGGTGGAGTAGTGTATTAAGATAGGATGTCATGTAGCTTAGACAGGCTGAGGCTGTATGTAGCATGAATCTTTTTTTTTTTTTAAAGATTTATTTATTTATTATGTATACAGAAGAGGGTGCCAGATCTCATTGCAGATGGCTGTGAGCCACCATGTGGGTGCTGGGAATTGAACTCCCGACCTCTGGAAGAGCAGTCAGTGCTCTCAACCTCTGAGCCATCTCTCCAGCCCCGTAGCATGAATCTTAAAGAGTCTTTATTAATAAAACAAACCTGGAGGCAAGTATTGGGATGAACACTGGAAAATCAGAGAAACAGAACAAGCCACAGCTAACCTCACCTGGCCAACTTCTCAGCTGGTCTTGTTTCCTCAGACTGGAAGCTTCTGTGTCCTCATCCCAATGGCTCTCAGCTGAACTGTGCTGCTCAAAACCTAAAAGCTTAACCAGCCAAATGCTTCTAGTTCCTGGTCCTCACAGCCTTATATATCTTTCTGCCTTCTACCACCACTCCCTGGGATTAAAGGCTGAGTCACCATGCTTGCCTGTATCCTTGAACACATGGATTTCTGCCTCTGGAATGCTAGGATTAAAGGCGTGTGCTACCACTGCCTATCCTAAGTATCTAGTGGCTTTTCTGTTCTCTGACCCCAGATGTGGGGAACACAATACTACCACACCAGGCCTCTTTAAGATCTTCCTCCCTCAGCCTCTCTGAATTCTATGATGAAAAGAAGCTGTTCCAGTCATCTAGCTTTGGATTAAATTTTATAATTCTGGCTAACATTTAGGGTCAGGCAAAGGTGGCACACACCTTTAACCCTACCACTCTGAGACCAACACTGTACTGAAAAGAAAGGCGGGGGTGGGGGACGACTCAAGCCACACTTGTAATAGTGCTGTTGGGTTTTGCCCTGTGACTTTTTTTTTTCTTTTTCCTTATTTTAAAATGCATTCATTCAGTCATTTAGTCATTCATGGTTTTTCCGAGACAGGGTTTCTCAGTGTTGTTTTGGTCCCTGTCCTGGAACTGGCTCTGTAGACCAGGCTGGCCTTGAACTCACAGAGATCTGCCTGGCACTGCTTCCCAAGTGCTGGGATTAAAGGTGTGCGCCACCACTGCCCGCACTGGAACATTAAACTGGCCACCATAGGCTTCCACCTTTTCTTAGGTTTCCCAGAATGGCCCCTGAGTGTAGTTATGTGTCCCATACTCAGCCATAGAACTTTGTCCTCAGGGGGACATATTTCCATCTTTAAAAAATGGAGTGATAAAGCCAGACAGGGTATCCTGTATGTATCCAACAGTCTTATTAAATAAGAAACACAGAAACAATGTAAAAGAGAAAGCCGAGAGGTCAGAGCTAAAATCTCACCCTTCCGCCTGCTTCCCGAAAAAGAGCTATTTCCTGTGTGTAAATCGGTTCAAAGTCATTCTGCCTTCTCATTGGTTGTAAACCCAAACACGTGACTGCCTCGTCACTGCCTGTAAGTACAGCCCTCCAGGTCTTAAAGGCATATGTCTCCAATGCTGGCTGTATCCCTGAACTGTGGGATTAAAGGTGTGTGCCACCACCGCCAAGCTCTTTCTATGGCTCTAATAGCTCTGACCCCCGGGCAACTTTATTTATTAACATACAATCAAAATCACATTTCAGTACAATTAGAATACCACCACATACCTGTTATTCCAGCATTCTAGCAGTGAGGCAGAAGGGCCACAAGTTTGAGACCAACCTTGACTGCAGTGCAGCACTGCCTCAAAACATAAAGGAGTGTGACAAGAGTGAGTACTTGTCTGTTGTACATACCTTCTCATCACCTTCCAGTGAGGAGATGGCTCTGGGCTACAGGAGCCTGCAGGCAGTCCTTGTTACCTGAGTTCTGTCTATCCCTAGAGCTCACGAGGTAGAAGACTCCCAAAAGTTGTCCTGACTTCTTCTACCAGTGCTGCCTGTGCTGGGTGACACACAGGCACAGAATAAACGAGTGTAAAAGAATTCCTGTCTAAGGAACCACTACATCTGTATGGCATTTCAGTCTTTTAGACCTTGGGTATATATATACTTTAGACATAATTATTTTATAATTTTCTGTGTATGAATATTTTGCCTGTAGGTTTGTGTACTATGGGTCTATAGTGGTGCCCCTGAGTTCTACTAGGGCCTTGAATCGCCTGGGACTAGAGTTACAGGTGGTTGTGAGCCACCATGTGGATGCTGGGGATTGAACCTTGGTCCTCTGGAAGAATAGCCAGTACTGATAGCTGCTAAGCCATTGCTCTGGTCCCTAGACATATTTTTTTAAGGGTTTTTATTTTTATTTTTTTTTTTTTGTTTGCTTTTTTACAAGACACGGTTTGTTTCTCTGTAGTTTTTGTGCCTGTCCTGGAACTCGGTAGACCAGGCTGGCCTCAAACTCACAGAGAACCTCCACTGCCTGATTACTGAGGTTTTAAGTATGTGCCACTGCATGCAGCTCTTTAAATGTGGGTTTGGGGCATACTTATTCAGGGAGTTCTTTATTCAGTGAGTCATATACCGCCACCCAGATCCATAAAGTATGGACCATGTGGTTAAGTTGTCTTAATTTCTTTATCCCAGCAGAGCCTTCTAAATCCCAGACCCGCAAACCTAAGTGTGGCAAAGGAACTCACTGTTCTCGAAATGCATACATGTTGGTTTATAGACTGCAAACCCAGGAAAAAAACCACACAATGGTTCAAGTCCCAGGTAATCACTTTTCCTGAATTGCTTCTGGAAATGCTATAGAAGTCTACTCCCAGGTTTATTAATGACCACCACCAGCTTACACAAATTGTGACAGATCTGTTGAGTATGGTAAATGTTAATGAACGTAAGTGCTGGTCACAAATGAACAATTATTATTGTGCTTTTGGAGTGACTAGGACTATTCTGTTACCCCAACTCCAAAAAGAGGCAGAAGCAATTTTCAGTAATGTTAAATAAAAGGTAACCTAGATTGGTTTTATTTCAACTTGTAGAGCCAAAGCAGCTGGTTTACCTGGCATGTCCCATGTACTGTAGTATAGAGCCATTTCATGCTTCTGGGCAGTCTGGGTGGGGATGACCTGGTTTCATTACACCTTCAGTTTCCCTGTAGAAGTTTCCATTCATTCATCTCCAGATGATAGTGTGCACATCAGTGTAGTCTCTGTCTTTGGAAAAGAGAATAAGGTTGGTTTTTGTGTTTCTCTTTTGGATAGCCTTTCTTCAAGAGCTGGTAGATCGGGACAATTCCAAGTTTGAGGAGTGGTGTGTTGAAATGGCCGAGATGCGCAGGCAGAGTGTGGACAAAGGCAGAGCGAAACACGAGGAGGTGAAGGAGCTGTACCAAAGGTTGCCTGCTGGAGCTGGTCTGTGAGATATTCCAGGACAACACTATTGCCATTGAATGCCTGGGGGTTTTGCTTTGTGGTGCTTTAATCTTTAAATGTTGCAAAAATGTTTATGAAAAACCCATTTTCTCCTCCTAGAGGCCAGCTTAAACATTCTAAAATCACTATGTAAACTGGCAGTAACTAGACAGAGATATAATGTTCTTTGTCACTTCCTTTTCAAAGTCTGAGGCTGCTACTGAACGATAAACTGCACATTCATGATCTGTAAAGACTTTCAGAAACTGTGAGCTGGTGAGACCACTCAGGGGAAAAGGTGCTTGCTCCACGCCTGACAACCTGAGATTGATTCCCAGGACACACATGATGGGAGAGAACTGACTTCTGTTGGCTCTTCTCTGACCTTTGCATGCTTGCCTGCCACCTGCCTCCCCATGTACACACATATTGTAATAAACATTTTTTTGAAGGCTATTTGACTGCTAGGTGTGGTGGTGCATGCCATTAATTCCAGCACCCGGGGAGGCGGAGGTTATCGCATGCCTGTGAGGTGTTTCTGTGAGATATAGGCCAGCCTGGTCTGCATAGCAGGTTTCAGGCTAGCCACAGCTTCATAGTGAAAACTTGTCTCAAAAAAACAATTTTTTCCTTCTGTGAGATATGAAATGTTTCTAAAGCCAGACCTGATTGGATCACTGTGACCTTTCTTCTGTTTTAAATCCTTTGTTCCCTAAGAATGTTAACTGACATTTGTGTACACTTTTTTTAAAAGATGTATTTATTTATTATGTATACAGTATTCTGCCTGCATGTGTCCCTGCAGCCCAGAAGAGGGCACCAGCCTCATTACAGATGGTTGTGAGCCACCATGTGGTTACTGGGAATCAAACTCAAGACCTCTGGAAGAGCAGTCAGTGCTCTTAACCTCTGAGCCATCTCTCCAGCCCATGCGTACACTTTTTAATATAAAATGTTGTAGGAAATCCTTGATAGCTCCCCTCTGACTTAGATGAACACAACCTGTTCATCCTATGTATTCTTGTTTATTCAAATTTACCTTGTGCCTTCTCTGGTTGTCAATTGTCAAAATCCTGCAGCCTCACTCTCCTGCATATGGTAGAGAGCAGTGTGTCCGAAGTTAAAATAAGTATTCGAGCATAAAATTATATGGATGGATGGTTTTGCTTTTTTTGTGTTCATTTCCCATTACTGGTATAATTAATATCAAAGATGACTAGGCCCATATGAAAAGTCTTTAGGTGTTCTCTTCCTGACTGCGGTTACAGTTCAAGGACAGAGCATGTGCTTGTATAGATATGTCCTCATTTCTACACCAGCACCCAATGGAGGAAAAAAGTCATCCCAAACTGCTGCTTTTTTAAATTCTGTTCCTTCTTTGTGACTTGGTACTTGAACTGTGTTTAAGCGCTAGAATTATCCAAAAAAGCCACTGACTTTTACTTAATAGGAAATGAACTCAGGAGTCAGATCACTCATTTCGTGGGCATTGACCCTAGAGATCTGTTCTCCAAACTCTTGCACTGTGCAGAAAGGAAAAGGACTCCTTCCTGCCCTAAAGACAGAATGGCATGAAGCAGCTGAGGGTGAAGGTCTGAGGGAAGAGCACATGCTCTGGAGAGGCCCTGGATCATGAATCACTCACTCTTATGGTGCCATGATGTCTTTTATACTTTGACCACTCAGGAGCCTTCTTAATGGAAACTCTTAAACAATTGTAAGCATTCTTTTGAAAGGCCTCCTCCCTCAAAATCCAAGTCTCATGAAAAACAACATCCCTCTGGCCACTGTTATTTAAACCTGAATGTTCTTAAAATCTAGATAAATGGTTATATTTTTCATGCTATTATTATTCAGGACATTTGTTGTACTCAAATCCATTGGGTTTTTTGTGTTTGTTGAAAAAAAAAAAACCCTCATTTTAAACTCATGATATTTGGCATTTTCAAGATGGCCTTACTCAGTAGCCCAGGGTGACCTCAAATTCATGTCAGTCCTTCCTCAGCCTTCTTGGTGCTGGGATTACAGGAGCATCACCACTGTATCTAGGCCACATGATTATTTCATAGTCCTAGCCATTGAAAGAGCTATCACAGCTATGGCTTTTTCTCCCAGGACCCCAGCACACTACAGTGAGTGCTGGAAATGGAAATGGGTTAGTGTTCTCTCTCTCTCTCTCTCTCTCTCTCTCTCTCTCTCTCTCTCTCTCTCTCCCCCTCCCCCTCCCCCCTCTCCCTCTCCCTCTCTCTCTAAGTTACTGTTAAGAACTGTAAAGTCAGAAGTGGTTCCCCCACCCCATCTTGGAATCTTGCATTAATTAAAACAGCAAACTTCGTTGGGAAATTTTCCATGGGATTCAAGTAGAGGATTGGCCAGGTTAACTTTGAATTCCAGTACATACTCAGTGTTTCTTTTTAGTTATTCTACGACTATCCCCTTAGAGTCTCTTGAGACAGGTCTCTAGCTCAAGCTGATCTGGAGATCACCATGTGGCCTCTACTGACAGGCTCAGACATGGGTGATCCTCCCACTTCAGTCTCCTGAGTACCAGGATCACAGATGAGAGCCACCTCGCCCAGCATCAAGAGCCAGATTCATTTAGTTTATTTTTTCAGCAACAGAAGGTGTTGCCCTCTGTTCACCTCCCTGGATGCTGGAAGAACAGAATACTTGGAGAAATAGTCCTTAAATGAGAACTTGTATCAACCCCCACTCCCCTTGAAAAACTTAAAATTACTCAAAACTTTAGTCTCTGACTTTGTATGGGGAAGTAGTAGCTGCTTGGACTTTTCCTCAGATTGGTCACCCCCTTTTTTTGATCCAACATAAACCTGATAAACGGCACAGAACTAGGGGGGCATTTTGAATATAATTGGCTATGGTATGATTTGGGGGCATGGGGTGATAATAGTACTGGGGATTGAACAATGGCAGTGTACATTCAAGCAATCTCTCTACTAAGGGAAGTGTATGTTACTGTTTTGCTTTTTCATTTATTTGTTGGTGGTGCTGGAGATTTGGCCCAGGGCTCCACTTAATGTTAGGCAGATAGTCTACCATTGAACTACAATTCCCTGGCCCTTGCCATGCTGATATCTTGTAGGATGCCACGACCATTTTTCCTGTTCTGTGTCTTTCGGTCTCCTCTTTGGATGTACAATTAACTTTTCTATATCTCTTTTCTTCCAAAAAGCTCAAAATGCTTCACATATCTTATCTTTTACACTCAGCAACATCTCTGTGAGGTAGGTAGAAGGCAGGTATTATTACCTTCATTTTGCAAATTAACTATCTGAAGCATAGAGAGCTTAGGTGACTTGCTCACGTTGAGTTTCTCAAGGCAGAACTGCCCAGTGCTGCCCTGTGCCCTCCAGTCTCAGTGCAGAAGGGGAGCTGTCACCTCCAATTTTTGTTTTCTGTCACAACATTGAGCTGCTTTACATTAAAATCAAGAAGTGGGAGTTAGCTTTCTGGATGTGTGACTCTGGGGCGTCGGAAACGGTTCAAGTGAGCTTTGCACTAAAGTGTCTGCCCTCAGATCTGCCAGAAGTAGCACACGATACGAATTCAACCTCTGTATGTTTTCTCCTATGTTTTATGCTGGGACTCACTGGAGATCTTTGTAAGTAATCAAAGCTGTCCCTTTATTTTTAATTTTGCCTTTTGGGGAACTCTGGGACTCCCTCTCCCCAAATTATAATTCATTTTGAAATGTCTAGTGATCTTAATTTTTGAGCTTCAAAACTATTAATAATTCATTTCTAGTGTACTCTGTCCTAGAACTTATTTCCAATACATTATTTTCTTGAATAGATCATAGCACAGACTGGGGGAATCATAAATCCTTTTTCTGAACACCAGCCCATCTTGGAGTCAGGAAAGTTAAGTGTTGAAATGAGCTTGTGAAGTGTGGCTTTAGCTGATAAGGTTAACTGGTAACTTAAGAGGTTGCTTTTCATTTTAATTTTCAGATATATAGCACATACTTGTGCAGGGTAAGGGACAAGGAGATTTCCACACAGCACCCAGGTGTCCTCATGGAAGCTCGGCTGTGTTCTCAAGCAGGGCACTTCTCTCTGGACTCCTCTTGTAGAATGTGGCTAATAATACCCGCCGATCCCATAGGGCTCTGTGCAGATGTGTTTCCATGCACAGCTGGAGCTCACAGGAGTGCTAGCTAACTGAAGTTCCTAGTCATCACACATCAGATACCTCTCAGTGATTCTTCTGATCCTGATGACTTTTGGACAAAGTTTGCACTGGCTTTGGAGGACAATGATTTGTTCTATCATGTAGTCCAAAAACTGTAAAAATACATAGTTTCTTCCCATTCCTTTTTTTTCAGAGCCCTATGAGTTTGTCTCTCTTGAATGGCTGCAAAAGTGGTTAGATGAATCGACACCCACCAAACCTATTGATAATCATGCTTGCCTATGTTCACACGACAAGCTTCATCCAGACAAAATATCAATTATGAAGAGAATATCAGAATATGCAGCTGACGTTTTCTACAGTCGATATGGAGGAGGTCCACGACTAACTGGTAAGTCAGGGCCTCATCTCTGCTTGCATGAGGAAAGCATGGAGTTTGCACTCTGCTTTTGAGATCAGGACAGGACGTCAACATGCAGTAAGTAAACTATATTCCTGCACCTTGACAATTAGAGCAGAATTGAAGCCAGGCCACTAATGGAGCGTAGACAAAACAGGTTCCCTTTAAAGAGAAGCACCCACAGTGCTTTGCCAGCTCACACAAGTGTCTTAAAGCTTTGAGTCTGTGTTTCGTTCATTCCAGTTTTGTGTAGGTTTGGGATATTGCTTCTAAATCTGTTTAGTTCTCCCTGGAATGTGCAGAGATATGTAGCCACAAGTAGCTAGCCAATCTGTTTAGTTCTGGCTGCTTCTTTTTAAGCAATTTTCTACTTACTTATATTAAACCTTTTATTAAGTGTGTCTGGGTATTGTGCTGGCATGTATGTCTGCACTACATGCCCTACCGTTGTCTTTTTAATGAGCAACTGGCAAAACAGATCCCCTTTTCATCTCCAGTGGGGCCAAGGGAATTGCATGACCTCCAGTTCCCCTTTCCTGAAGTTAAGTGCTATTTTGGTTATACACAGCATTTAATTATGCTCTAGGCCTTTCTGGGTACACAGGATTTTGTGTTCTAAAGTACTCATCATTCAGAATTAATAAACTGTGCAATGAGAAGCTATTTCTTTTTCTTTCTTTCTTTCTTTCTTTCTTTCTTTCTTTCTTTCTTTCTTTCTTTCTTTCTTTCTTTCTTTCTTTCTTTCTTTCTTTCTTT